ATGTGGGTCATTTTGGGTCAGTGGGCTACTCTGACCTTAACACGCGCTCGGGTGGGGGTCAAATTGACCCTCTCCCCGAGAGTTTTCGGAACAGTTTCCGAACGGCGCGGGGCAGCCGCGCCAAATTTTGCATGGCTGAAGACAATGGAACAGCGGATCGTGTGGTATCAAAAAATTGGATCTCCTTTGTAAGGTCGCTGACCCACGACAGTTCAAAATCAGGCCATGGATTCACAGAAGTCAAGTTCAGGAGAATCGTACAATCTGATGAAACAATGGAGTGTTATGCGAATCTCTACATCTCTCAGATACTTTCTTAGGCAGCACAACAATTGAATGACCAAATTCCACTGACCTAGAGTCAGATATGACGATCAGACCAACGTTTTCGAATATATTGATAACATGAACCATATCGGACATTTTTCATGGAATTCTTATATGTTGGATTGAGTCACCAGTCCAAAATGAACCAGGTCTGAACATCCTGCCTAGCTTAATGTTTGATGCTTATTCAAATGTAAAACTCAAAACAATCTTCTATGATTTTGGTCACCATGACCTTCGAAAAGTCAAACAAGGTCAATCATCTTCAATGAGGATGCAAACTTTTGCTTAGAACAGGCATCTAGGTTCTGGGGACACTTTGAAAACCAACCTGGAGTTTGACATTGTTTGACATTATTTGACACAAAGATGATGATCTAGGAGACTCAAACTTTAACCTAGGTGAGTTCACGTATAGGCCAATACACCCTGTGAATTTGGCGTCTCTAGCCCCCTTAGTTCCTAAGATTTCAGGGGGTCAAATTGACCCCCACCCGAGTGAAGGGTATCAAACCGGCCACCCGGGTGCGTGTTAAATAAGTTCATGGAAGCCTCTGTTGTGGTCCCTGTTGTCAGGAAATTCGAAAAGAGCCTCAGAAATAACTCTGCTAATCAAGCTCTCCAATAGAGAAGCAGGCTGGCTTTGACCTCGGTCTGGCCTTAATACCTGAACCGACGTCAATGGATTCTGCCGTAATCCCAGATACAGTTGTTTTATTGTCTAAGTTCTATCTCAGAGATGCATGGCTTCGTCTAACACTCAGTTGTCGCAGCAGGTCGAAAAGTTCCTAGATATTGCCTTAGCTGACAGCCATGGCCGCCTTTGGCCTATCTTGGGTCAGCGACTTTATAAGGTGCATCTAATTTTGCTCACCAAAATATCTGCTATCTAACTGCGTACAGCTATGCCAAGTCTAGCACGGCTACATCTCGCTTTTCGGAAATCGTTCTCGAAAAAACCTTCCGGGGGGTTAGACTGACACTCGCCCAACTAAGCGCGTGTTAATATGTGCGTGACTACTTATAGGCAGTCGAAATCCTGTTAGGCAAGCAAAATAAGATTGGGAGCATGTGATGGCATTTCACGGCCCGCAAGAAATCTTGCTCGCCTGCGACGCGCTGAGCTTGGTTTTCAGTAAGGATTTTTGGGTTGTGCCCTAGCCTCCCTTGTTTGGGACGTGAAAGAGTAAGCCGTTCATTTGGAGGCATCGCAAAATTCGGGATCATGTAAATGTATTGGCGTATGCTAGCGATGCATAGGTGTGCACGGATACTTTATGCCAGCTGCCATGTGCGATGTCTTACGCAGACCGTGATGCACTACGCTGTAAAAAGGATTGTTCGACAGCGCATTACACGACAGCCATAAGATGTAAGCACGAGCGGTGACAGCGAAGGAAAGGGAGATGTGGGAAGCTGCCCCCATTATCTCCTCCCACTCCCGCCCCCCCCCCCCCCTCCCATCCGACGCCTGGAAAAAAAGCCGTAACAAGTCTTGAGTGATGCTGTGAGAGTGATTGCCAACATCCCAGATCTACGGAATTTATAGCTTAAACGTTACTACGTTGTGAAGAAAGAACCGAAGGACAAATCGCGTTTCCTCCGGAAGTCCCAGAAGGTTCGTCACCAGTGGAGGCAATTTGAGCCATGGCCAACAGATCCCAGGGTGATGGCCGGACCCCACTTGCAGTTGGGTCTGAGACTACACATTTTGCGCCGACTCGCGGTAGATTCGCCGCATTTGGTTTTACGTCCGTCTTATCTTGCCAGCGGTCGTAGTTGTTTATAAAATTGAGAAAAACCGATGTGGAATCCAGCAGAAAGGTCACAGGCATGCAAAGCGCCTGTTGGTCACATCCTTGGCCCAATTTCTGCACACACCCACGCCAAAAGCATTTCATCGTGTGTCGCGAGAGTCCCATTACATTCATAGTGTGAAAAACTGCGCTCGGTCTTATCGGAGGGGAGGGTTCAAGTCTCGTAAGCCCTCACTGTGGCTACGTCACCGTGTTTGACGGCCTGGCAGACCCTTCTGACGTTCTAAGGCGTCTGCTGCTCAGTTTTGGTTTTCCTCACTTTTCATTCAAAACAGCTGCCTTACCTTTATAGACTGTTTGGCCATACCCAGAGTGTATGCATCCGCCGGGACTCCGATCTGTTTTTCTGAATCGTCTCAAAGACCTTTGAGGACGTGGGCCGCCGGCAAGTGAGGGGTTTCACTGCGGGGCTGGGGGAATTTTGTAGTTCACTGGGGAGGGGGGGGGGACGATCAACAGGACTCACCCACACCCACCTTCCGAGCAAATGGTACTGCACGAGCGTGGAGCACGAGGCATGACGTAGGTAGGCTCAGCGTGCCTTGCTCGAGGACCGAGGAGGGAAGCAGCGCTTCTCTGCCAGAGTGTCGAACTTGTTGCACCAATTCCCGCCCAGGTAGTCTCTGCGCGCCTTGCTAGAGTAACGAGGAGGGAAGCGGCGCTTCTCTGCCAGACCCGAACTTATAGCACCAGTTCCTGCCCAGGTAGTCTCTGCGTGCCTTGCTAGAGTAGCGAGGAGGGAAGCGGCGCTTCTCTGCCAGACCCGAACTTATAGCACCAGTTCCCGCCCAGGTAGTCTCTGCGCGCCTTGCTAGAGTAACGAGGAGGGAAGCGGCGCTTCTCTGCCAGACCCGAACTCATAGCACCAGTTCCCGCCCAGGTAGTCTCTGCGTGCCTTGCTAGAGTAACGAGGAGGGAAGCGGCGCTTCTCTGCCAGACCCGAACTTATAGCACCAGTCCCCGGCCGAAGTCGCGGGATTGAGCTCACGGGCACTTGCACAGGCCGTCAGTCGTGATATGCTAGATCAGTCGCCAGATCAGGACACTGTAGGAAGCGTGCGGGCCTGTCTGGTCTTGTCAGCATATAAATGTGTGCTACATATACGCATACCATATGCCACTTAAGCGTGTGTGTCCTGCATGACTGCATGCTAACCTGATATGTGACTCGGGGATTAGAAGTCGCTGTAACGGTGGCCAATATATGCGTGCGTCAATCCCGCGACGGCACATTTGCCACACGTCACATCGGCGACGTAACAAACATACGCGCCATTCGTACGCGTACAACATCAAAACTTACATTTATACATTTTCTCCGAAATGTATTGCCAGCGTCTACGCAACTGCAAAACAACTTCCATCCGCAGCTCTATATTCAATGTCGGGGGTTGGGCTCAACCGATAGCGAACGTTGACGACAAAGTCTGGCAAACATTCAACTGTATTCGAAATGTGCATACAACTCAGGAGCAGCCCAGTTTGCAACATCTATCACAGACAGCGGCGACAGCGCATTCACGCGGACACAACTCTCACGAACACGGCGCGGCGGGCTGTCCAACAGCTCAAGTCTTTGGCACATGAACAGTTAGCTGACACGATGCGCGGCGCGAATAAATGGGAAATAAATAGCTGAAACAAGTCATTTGATATAAGCGTGCACGTACATGATGAGCGGAATAAAATACGGTGACGTGGGAGGTGGCTGACTGCGGATGGCGCTTAATGCTGCGTGTGATGATGACTTCAGACCTCCAAACCCGGTAAAAAACGATAACATACGTCGATGAGTGTGAGAAAGGAACTCATTCTTACTGATCCACGGAAAATTGGAGCCTGAGGGCTGGACGTCACCGGCAGAGCCAACAAACGCGGGGAGTGTTCTCGGAGGTAAATCAACAAACGCGGGGAGTGTTCTCGGAGGTAAATCTCCAGTTTTTGTGGTTGGCCACCGCCGGCTACGGTCTTCCATACTGGTCACTGGTCACGGCATGTTCTAGTCGGCTACGGCACGTTCTCGCTGCATCATTAAACCCAGCCAGGACGTAGACTGAACGTCAGACAAGCTATTCGGCCCGCTGCCAGACTTAGCCCGGGCGGTGTAATGATTCCATGTTAACTCAGTTTGTGTTTAATTATTCATGGTCTGGGTGCGGAGACGTTCAGACCGGGGCTCTGTGAATGGTGAATTCCTCAACGACAACAACAAAATGTCGAGGTGGACAGCGTAGCCCACTTGTATGGGAAACTTACACCGCTACTGACCTGAACTTGGCCCTTCGCATTGTTTAGTTGTCGGTCGCAAAAGGTGACTTTCAGAATGAGGATAACGCGGAATTGAACCAACGTCAAACACAAGTCGGTCTGATACATGACCGAGATTACGGTGTAGACAATTCCTCTCCGGCTCTCCATTTGTTGAACACAACGCGGTAACTGAACATTGAGGGTAACGACTTCATCGCCGATTTTCGCGTCCCTTTCAAGCACATCGAAGCGTACCTGCCGCCATCAGCCTCCCACAACAACCTACACATCCCCTCCAACGACACGGCACGCAACCATTGCGTTCTCTCCATCGGAGGACTTCCCCGCCCCACGGAGCTAGAGCCCTCCCCAGTGTCCTTGACCCCGCGCTGCCGCCTCCGACCGGGCGCCGGCTTCGGCTGTCTTCCGCGGCGGTCTCGTATCGGCGCTCGCCACGCACGGAGGCCAGCTTCGGAGCAGACAGCGGCGGTCCATCAACGGCGGGCCGGCGCGGCCGCTCTCCTCCCGCCGAGAGCGCCCCCCCCCCCCCCCAAACGGCACCATCTGTCGGAGGCCGCACAGACGAGGCCGCTCCGTCCCCACCCCGGTCGTGGGAAGGGCGGTGTTCGAGCTCGCGCTAAAACTGTGTGGAGAGACGCGAGGCGGCCACGTGTATCACAGTTTCCTGACTGGCTGAGTCGGCAGCACGGCTCATGTACGGCTCCACGTCAGACGAGTCCTGGAACACGACGAAGGGGCGTCACACGGTGCAACAGAGGAGCAAATCGTGGACACAGCGGGGATAGTCAGCAAAACACACAAAATACAACGTGCCACATGGACTACGCCTCACATTTCAAATACTTTTAGACCGAGAAATGTGGCATTTGCGTATCATTTCTCACACAACAGATAACGTTCGCATTCGTCAGGGATATCGCGCTTTGCAAAGCTGGAGCTACAAATTCACCACGGCTACTAACCACCTAAACGTGCTCAACTAAAAAAAACTTTGGTTTTTCATCAAAAACAAAGCTACCGGGAAAAACACATAAATGAGACATGAGCCACAAATTACGAAGTGTATCGACAGAGCGCGAAGTAATATACAAGCCTGCGAACGGTCGGTCTTACATCAATGCTGAATGGCAGACATTCGGGGCCAAAGACGTTCTAAAAAAACAAACAGAATAATATCTACCTCTACGGCAAGCGTGTTGGCAGACATATCTATACCGAGCTCTCCCGGTGGTCGCCTCGAGGCAGAAAGGGCTCGATCTCGTGCGGACGAACGGGACGCGGCGGCACTCGGTCCGTCCGCACGTCCGTCCGCACGTCTGTCCGCACGTCCGCCGGCACGTCCGCGGCGGACCTCCTCGCCAGGCACGGCACGGACGCGTACAGCACGTCCGCCGCCGGCTGAGTGCAGGCGAGGCGGCGGATCAGCGACGGACGGGATCACACGTCAGATGGTCAGCAGGGACGCGGACCGGGTAGCGGAGACGGGATCACACGTCAGATGATCAGCAGGGACACGGACCGGGTAGCGGGACGGGATCACACGTCAGATGGTCAGCAGGGACACGGACCGGGTAGCGGAGACGGGATCACACGTCAGATGGTCAGCAGGGACACGGACTGGGTAGCGGGACGGGATCATACGTCAGATGGTCAGCAGGGACACGGACCGGGTAGCGGGACGGGATCATTCGTCAGATAGTCAGCAGGGACACGGACTGGGTAGCGGAGACGGGATCACACGTCAGATGGTCAGCAGGGACACGGACTGGGTAATGGCGGACGGGATCACACGACACATGGTCAGCGGGGACACGGACTGGGTAATGACGGACGGGATCACACGTCAGATGGTCAGCAGGACACGGGCTGGGTAGCGAAGACGGGATCACACGTCAGATTGTCAGCGAGGACACGGACTGGGTAGCGGAGACGGGATCACACGTCAAATCGTCAGCAGGAGACACAGCGCAGGTGTCTTTTCGTGTCATCATGTCTTTACGCAGTCTGGTAACAAAACCCAAGCCAGCCACGAACTTACCGATGACATCCACCAGAAACGAGTTCGGAGATTACACCAGTCAGGACCGAACCGGAGCGTGGTGACATCGAACAAAGCCGCAAGAGCGTCAGGCCCACAAATTTGCACGCGAACACCCAAAAATAGCCCACACCGCCTCTCCGTGGGTGTCAAAAGGTCAGGCTAGCGAGCGCAAACACGGCCTGCAGTGTGAGGCAGGGCGGCTGCGGCCGTACGAACGGCACCGCCAGAGGTCACGGCGAGCGGGTCGCCCCTCACCAGCGGTCCTGAAGGGGGTCGGGAGTGGTGACCCTTCCTGAGGCTGACCAGGGTGCCACCGGCGGTGGCGTCGCCGGCACGGTGCGCCCCCGGCGGCGGCCGCAGCGAGCGGCAGTGTGGCTGACTGAGCCGCTCAATCATGTGCTTCTCCTCGGGGTCCAGGTACTCTGCGGCGAGGGAGCAGGTCAGTGTCGGAGAAGGCGAGAGGGGGACTGGGGAGGGGGGGGGGGGCGGAGAGGAGGAATCCGTGTCCAGCGTCCATCCCAAATGCTAGATCCACCCAGAGCGGTGACGCTCGGTGCACGTGAACACATCTCGTAATGCATACGCGTTATGCGTTACTGCATACCATCCGGATATGACAAGGGATGGAGACGACCGAGGATTGCAGGCACCTCGGCCGTTGGTTCAGACATCTCGGCCGTTGGTTCAGACATCTCGGCCGTTGGTTCAGACACCTCGGCCGTTGGTTCAGACATCTCGGCCGTTGGTTCAGACATCTCGGCCGTTGGTTCAGACATCTCGGCCGTTGGTTCAGACATCTCGGCCGTTGGCTCAGACATCTCGGCCGTTGGTTCAGACATCTCGGCCGTTGGTTCAGACATCTCGGCCGTTGGTTCAGACACCAGCCTGACATCTGAGGCACCACGAGTCGGCTGCAAACTAACGCAGGCAAGCCAGTAAGGTCATACCGGCCCGGGGCGGCCTACCCAGAGGTAGTGTCTCGGCGCTGCCCTTCTGTTTCAGGTCCAGCGCCGACTGCATGTTGCCATCGCCGTCGTCTGGCGCGACGGCCGGCGGCTGGTCTCTTCTCTGGAGGGCAGCGGCAGGCATTATTAACGCCATGCGTGACCGCGACACGCGGGACCAACGTAGGGGATCACGCCGGGGGACGCCGTTCTGAGAGACGCCCACGCAGCACCGTTGGTATAGGTCGCTGC